CCCCCCCCCACACACACACACTCTTGAACTAAGCTCCTTCTTGAAAACTTGTAAGGCAGTCACTTAGTGCCTTTATTGCCTCCTCATTTTAGGTAGTCAATGTCTAAGTAGCCCATCCCTATCTATCCGGTGCACAGAGGGGGGATAGCATTGATACTTGATGTGAAGACTCCTTCCCTTTCAGTTGGTATTTTGAGCTACTACATCCATAAGTATAGATCACGCTCATCAAATTGTAGCAATTTACACTTGTTTCCTTTATCAAAAATTGTTTTCTTTTTTATCTTCCTCTAGTCGAGTTCTGATTATCAAGTCATTGAGGCTAGGTCAAATGGGTACTATCTGCAAGTTTGGGCATTCTTGTGTGTCTCCCCTCACTTCATATCAGCTCTAGCCCTCTGTGGCTATGTCCTTTTCCATGGGCTCAGGAGTCACCAGGTCTCACCACACTTTGGACCAACCAACCCTTCCTCTTCTGTCATCTCCAGGTCAACAGGAGTCTATGGAATGTGGTTGAACTTAGCCCATTTTGTCATTGCTGCCTTTTCCCCTCTTTCACTCACCGGTAGACCGGGCTTACATGCCTGCTCATGTGTTCCCTTTGAGTTTCAGTCTTAGAGGGGTGTTTGTCCTGAAGGGACTTGATTGCTTGCCTTGATGGCTTCCTGGTGAACAACTTGCTTGTTCTTGTAGTAGCCAATCAGACAGAAATTTTTGTTTTGGGTTTTTCCTGATGATCTTTCTTTCAAAAAGTATCTTCTGTTACTCTAGCTCTTCCAGGCTGGTCTGCTTGTCCTTTCTATTGGGAATGTCCCACCTCAGAAGGTTCTGGATGGGACTCAGGATTCCACCTAAGGGCCCTATACACTACAAAGTCTCTGCAGGAGGCCTATTTGACTGGGCAAGTTCTAGAACCTCTTTTAGGTATTCCAATCAGCTATAGGCTGAAGATGGGCTTGCAAGCTTTCTGTAATCATGTTTCCTGGCATTCCTTTCTATCCCCCTCAGGTGTCTATTTTACAATAGTAGGCAAGGGAAATCAATATTCATGAGACAGTCAAGCACCTTAGTATTATTTCCCCTCTTCAGACTATGCCTCAATCCCTGTATCCCAGAGCCCTGTGTTCCAAGGTTGAGCATGCATCACTATTTACCTCTGTCACACTTAGGCCATGCAAACCTGTCTCAGTGTTCCACTGTCTATCTTGTTCTTCCACCTACTTCCCCTTCCTGTGTATTGTCCTCCTCAACACCTGGACTATGATGTGTCTGCCCCCTACCCTGTGCTCTACTGTTGCCTCCCCCTCACACTCCCCACCCCACCCCCTTTATCAGTATCTTTTTTAAAGCTTTTACAATAATGGTCTTATGTAGTAATATTTGTCCTTTTGTGACTGACTGATTTCACTTAGCATAATGTCCTCCTTGTTAGTCTTCAAGGTAGCATAATATTCCATTGTGTGTATGTACCAACGTTTGTTTATCCATATGAATGTACTTTTTTTTTTTTTCTTAAATGTTGTGAATTATGTGATAGTTTACATGGGAGAACATTAGTCTTACATTCATTCTATCGTATATCATCTCATTGCCATGGTTATAATCCCCTCCATGCATCACCAACCAACCAAAGGGTATACCCTGCAATCCTTCCCCCGTACCCCACAGGACTTCAGCACACAGTTGCTCTCCCTCTCTGTATCTAAAGTCTCCAGCTGCTCCATTGCTCCATGTCATCATCTCTGCCTTCATTTCAGGCATCACTGCTTCTCTGGGTAGGGTCCCGCTCTCTGCTCTTCTCCCTTGATGGTCCTAGGGACGGTGCTACCCAAATACTCAATTGACAGATGTCTACTGAGCACCTACAGTGCACTAGGTTCTGGGGATGTGGCAGTGAATAAGACAAATGAGTACTGTGCTTTCAAGGAGCGTAAACCTTATCCACACCATTGGCAGCTGGTCACTATTTAAGCATTTCCACTCTGAGCTTCTTATGGGTTTTGACTGAAGGATTTCAGTTCAGTGTTGTGAAACCTTTTAAGGATCAGCCATGCTCTTTTTGTATCTGACAGTGCCTAGCAGAGTGTCTGGGACAGAGTAAATGTTTGAACATTTGAACAGTTGAATTTCATTTTTTGAGGCTTAGCAACATGATGTAACTGCACTAGGTATCAACACAAAAACTATTTTGTACAAATGAGCGTAAGGTCATCACTTATAATAAATTTTAGCTGAATCATCATAATTCTTTATAGCCTCACTAGAGTCTATAAACTCATAGACTCACTATAGGGCAGACACTGAATCTGTGTAACAACTTTGTGAGGTGTAGGTACTATTTCTCATGAATTTTAGCTATAAGGAGATTCGAGCTCTCATTGTGTCCTTGTAACTTGTGTAAAGGCACAGGAGGAAGTGACTGAGCTGCATTATGGAATAAGTGCACAGCTGATAGTAGCAATTGTGGTGAAAAGTTGAGCCAGGTCTATTGGATGGACTCTCGAGGGCAGCGGAGAATCCCAAGGGCTCACACAGTTCTACCAGGAGAGTCAAAGGGTCTTGCACATCTACTATGTCTTCTCAAACAATGTAGTGTATTCTGCTTTATGTAAAAATGATACATTTTAGCCCAAATTAAGAAAGCCCTATATTACTTGAGCGCAGCTATGTGTCTAATTTTATCTGAAAACTAACTTTTTAATACTGAAAAATCATAAAACTAGGGATGTCACAGGACTCAGAAGGGAGATGAAAACATTTATAAAATGAAAGGAGTCTTCTGTTATCTGGGAAAACCTGACTACTATGTTTTATAAAAATAATAGGATAATAAGAACTCAGAATTCTGAAGAAACAAGAGGACCATAAATAGGAGAATTTGTAAGGAAAAGTAGCTTCTGATATTGATGCCTACAGTGAATGGAATGGATTATGGGATGGGTTGTACTAGTTTGACATATTGTGGGTTTTCTAGAACAACTCTAAGGAGCCCAGGCAGCACTGTGGGTTAGATGTTGAGCTGTTAACTGCAAGGTTGTCAGTTCCAACTCATCAGCTACTCCATGGCAGAAAGATGAGGCTGGCTGCTCCCGTGAAGACAGTCTCTGAAACCCTATAAAGGGGTCACTATGAGTTGGGGTCAACTTGATGGCAATGAGTTGGGTTGGTTTGTACAACTAGGGGTTAGTATATTCAGGCAGCTAGGATGCAAAGTAAGAGAACCAGAGCATTAAGTAGTATAAGCAGATACAGTGAAGGAGAGCAAAGTGTTGGGGTATGGCAGTTTTTGATTTAAAATTTCATTTTACTTAATGTACTTAAATAGGAGATGATTGATCAGTGGGATGATCGCCTTGATTTCATAGGCCTAAGTCGAAGAAGGCACCCCAGTAGCCCCTGAGAGGATGGCCTTCTATAGCACTGATGACAGAGAGAGATGCTTGGGTATAAAATAGCCTGAGTTTCCTGCTGGTGTCATGGCTGGAGGGGGAAGTCACCTTCCCTCAGGAATGGGCTGCCATGAAACCCTACTTCTAGTTGTCAAGGCTGAAGGATTCCCATCTTCTTTCTAACATACTGGTAACTCCGAGAAATACACTGAGATGACCACTGAACGCTCACACAGAGAGTAACACAGAATGCAAAACTAAGGTATAAAAAAGAATATTTATTTTTGAAAAATACAACTTTGAGCACTACTGACATCTCATTTAGAAAGTATCCCCCTGAAATAGTCGCCATTGGTTTTGCTTACTTAGTACATTCTCTTATGTGTTATAAGCACCATCACCAAAAAAGAAAACTCTCATGAAAGAAGACCAACTCTGTCTTGAGATATGACCTTTCCTTTCCTTTTCTTTTCCACCAAGCAGAATTTTCTGACTGGCACACTCATTCTGCCATGGCAGTCTGCTAATGGGCACCACCCAACTGGAGATGTTTCAGCACCCAACACTCTAGATGGAACTGACCTATTTGCAGGAAGCCACACACACCTGGGCCCATTATTAATTACTAAGAGGTCTCCATTAACACTCACTTGGACTCTTTGCAAACATTCAGCATGAAGTAAACACAATATTTACAGCAGTTCATGGTTTGCAATTCAATACACTGACAGCAGAAAAGGGACCAAACTGGCTTTGTAAGTTAGCCAGAGGGAGTAAGAATATTAAAATAAGTCTCTCCTGCTAATGTGTGTGTGGATGCATAGAAAACTAAACATGCCTTCCTTTCAAAGCAGACTATTTACGAGGTGAGTCTGAATAGCACGTACATATATGCCAGTCATATTGGATACTTATTTTCTGCGAATACATCTCAATTTATTTATTTTTTGAATTCTGAAATTGAGTAACTGGGGAACATTTGTCAATGTTTGCTTCATAGTAATTGAGCAAAAAGCCACAAACCAATGCTTTGTCTTTTAAAAGGTGACTGTGGCCAAGGATTGGAAAGACAATGTCAGCAATACAGAGTAGTTAGTGCTCCTGGATCCCTCTAACCAGTCCCAACATTAATCTTAAAGAAGCTTTGAAACACAAATCACATACAAATCACCAAAACATCTCAGTTAACAGTGTTTGAAAAATAGCAAAATCTACAACAGTAGTACAGACACCGAAAACACTCTTTCGCCTCAGGACTTCAATACTACTAATAAAAAAAGACAACCAACTGACAAACAGGGGAGGGAGTTACAGCACTTGAGGTTTGAGTCAATTTCTTTTTTAGGGCCTGTGGCATGAGGTTCTGTTCTAGGATCCTTATTTTAACTCAAAAGATAGCTCAGGAATGAATTGTTAAAGTTAAAGCAATTTCTACTTGAAAACCATTGAAAATACAAATTGCGTTCTAAGTTTGCCCAACACGCTTTGTTTTTCTTCTTTTTTTTCAGGATCCCAAGTTAAGTGAAGGGATTTAGGTCAGCTTCAAGCCCTCAAAGCCACAGAATTTCCATCTCTTCTCCAGGCTGGCTCCAACTCCCGTCAGTTCTTGCTTGAACGTATACTGGAGTCTACTCATGAGACTTTCCACGTCAGTGGTACAGATCTGTGGGTCAGAGAAGAAGGACATCTCTAATCAAGACTAGTTCCACTTTCCTACTATGCACTGTGCTTACGATGCGATGCGGCTCCCTTCAGCCTTCAGAATGCTGGTATGTGTGCATGTTGTGAATGTAGGCTAACCCACTCCCCCCCTTGGTGCATACGTGTATGTGTTGGGAGAGTGGCTTCCAGACAGCAGCACATTCATTCCTCTGCTGTGACTGGAAAGGGCTGGTGTCAGCCGTGTGGGGGGTGACTTGGATTTGTAGCCAGTTTGACTGACAGCTGATCAGCACTGGTAATGCTCAGCGCAGGCCCAGGGAAGCTGTAAAGCCTTGCAGGAGGGGCTGGAGGAGGACATAGCTGCCACCAGAGCAGCATTCTTCACAAGCACAATTTTTGAGTTTACACAAGAAAAGTGACATGGCCAGGACTGTTCTGTAGCCCTCTCATTCATTAGGGTCCTGCTCCTTTCTGCCCCCAATCCAGGCAAATCTGCAGACCCATTTAGGGTGGTGAGCTTTACCTCAGGTAGCTCCCTTCCCAACGGTGAGCCTGGACACCAGGGGATCCCTAAAGAATCCTACTGTGGCTGTGCCATACTATTCCTGAAGTCAGAGGGAAGGGCACCCATGATTCTGTTGGGACCACTGCAGGCTCCCTTTGAGAGATCCTGGAATGCTTTCAGCCTGGATCCAGGTAAGTGAAAAAAGCATTGTGGAACATCATACATAGAATAGCATCTCCACTTCAAAAATCATAAATAGGTAATGTTTATACATTGTTGTTAAGTGCCATCAAGTTGGTTCCGACCCATAGCAACCCCGTACAGGATTTCCAAGGAGCAGCTGGTGAGCTTGAACCGCTGACCTTGCAGTTCAACCTGACTTTGCAATCCAGTGTATTAACCCACAGTGCCACACCCACAATATGGGTGCAACATATACATAGAAAGGGGTCTGAAACAAGATATGGTACATTTGTTTGCCCTGGGCTGTAGCTGGGGGCAGGGATGGCATTTCTCTTTACTGTATTTTGATATTGCTTACATCAGCGTACATGCATATCCCTTTTGCAATTATAAAAAGAACTTTTTATTTTTTATTTTTAAAAAGAACTGCCATGGAGTTCAACTGCCTATCATTCCAACTGACCACTTGGTTTTCATGCTCCTTTTCTAGCCTCCCATCACTGCCAAATGGGCTAGTTAATTTCAAAAGAGCAGCATTTCCCAGAGAGACAATAAGGGGGGCTCAGTTATGGTTGACTTAAGTGGTTGCTAGAAGTAAGAGCAAATGCTGTCTAGGAGGATGTATTGGCTCAGCTGGAACCCGGTCCAAGCCCTAAGAGAGGCTTGCGCCTCTATAAGAGGACATTCACGGACATGTTTTCACATGTGAAATGTTGAGTCTGATCCATGAGTTAGGTTTAACTGAATGCTGCTTCTTGAAAGAAAAAAAAAAAAAGAAAACATATCAAGAGCTTTTTCATTCTGAGGAGTCAGGAGTCCCTTGTGTCTCCAAGTGGCATTCGTGACATATAGTGAATTAGCACTTACCCTTGCTCCAAATGTCCCATGAGTTTCCTCAAAGGATTTTTAAGTGCCACTGAGTCGGTTCTGACTCACAGCGACTCTGTATAGGATTTCCGAGGAGCAGCAGCTGGTGGGTTTGAACTGCCGAGTTTGTAGTTTGCAGTCCAGTGCTGATCCTACGGCTCCACACCAGGAGTCCTCAAAGGATAATATCCAGAAAACAAATGCTCCATGAACTCAGTGGGGAGCAAACAACCTGGATTCCAGAGGCATCTCCGATCGTTGTGTAGTCTTGTGTGTGCCTCTGCCCTGACTGTTTCATAGTGGATAATGGTCGGGGAGGTGACTGAAACAGCACTTCGAATTTAGATACAAATTTATTGGTGAGAACACTGTTGTTGACTAATTTGTAAATTAAGAGAAAGGGAGAAAATTCTTCTAAGATGGACCCTGAAAGTAGGTAGGCTAGCCAACTTATCCCCTCAGTCCTGGGCGAGCCTACTTGTAAGCAAGCAGCTCTACACTGAATGTCAGAGAGGAGGTGAGGGCAAGTTTCCTCAGAGCAAAACTTAATGAGTGACTTAACTGTGATTGAGAGTAAAGGTCACCTGTTCACCTGTAGGGCCCTTTGCATCCCCGTCTCTCATCTCCACATACCTTAGTATCAAGACGGTGCAAGTAGGAACAGATGTATTCGATGCTTGCTCCAAATGGGTGCACGTGAAGGAATGTGGCGATAATCCCTAGAGAGACAATACGATGGAGGTTACGCATGATAGAGAATGTTGTTGTGTTGTTAAGTGCCGTCGAATCAGTTCCGACCCATGACGACCTTGTATAGGGTTTCCAAGGAGCAGCTGGTGAGCTTAAACCTCCAACCTTGCAGTTCAAACTGACTTTGCAGTCTGACGCATTAGCCCACAGCGCCACACCAGGACTAACTTCTATATACAACACATTATGTTGTTATCAAGTGCCGTTGAGTCAGTTCCGACCCATAGCGACCCTGAACAGGGTTTCCGAGGCTGTAAATCTTTACGGGAGCAGCTGGTAATTTCAAATTGCTGACCTTGCGGTTCGCAGCCCGATTCGTAACCACTATGCTACCAAAACTACTTACAACACACTATAGAAGGCCCTATTGTCAGTTTAGATCTTTCACTCAGGTAATGGTTACAATCCTGTGAGGTGGGTATTACCAACCATCCTCACTTCACAGATGAGGGCACTAAAGCTCAGAAAGACAAATCTGACAGTTTAAGCAACTTGCCCAAAGTAAGTGGCAGCGCTTGGAATTTGAACCAGGACAGTTTGGCTCCAGAAGTAGGGTGACTGTGAGCTTAATCATCCACACATACTGACTCTGAAGACACTACACCACACACACACAGCAAAGCTGGCATTTGAGGAGTCACTTGTACCATTCCCGATGACTAAGGACTATTTGAGTTCTAGAACATCAAAATGCATTTAGATTGCTGAATCACTTCAGCTCTAGAGTATGGCAATGAATATAGATTGTGCTGAGATTCTGCAGTTCCTTTGTAGTTAGCCTCTTCTGTGTTAATCATGTCTTACTGTTGTGGCAAATGTCTAAGTCATGTACTTTAATTAACCCACTGCCTCTCACAAGAGAATCTGTGGATTCAATTTGGATTTTAGTTCTGGAAAGAAGAGAAAAACATTTCACTCAGGGTTGACTCAGGTGGTTGCTAACATTTTGTACTTGAAGCTCAGAATTTCTTCAAGGAGCAGACTTTTCTAACAGTTTATAGGCTCCAGGATTGGGCTTCATTTCCACTCAGCATAACTCTGGGGTGACTGGCAGCTCCTCACACTGCCTTGATTGTTCTGACCATCAGGTGAATTGCTCTAGTACTTCTTTGTCTGGCAACAGCTGGAAAAGAAATTGTTCACCAGCCTCCTATTTCTTTGTTTACATTGTTTGATTCATCCTCTTTCATACAATCTTAGGTACATCCAACAGACCCAGAATTGAGTTTGCTGAGAACTGCTAGGAAATTAAAGCTACATTTGATTAAGTTTATAAACTAAAACCTATCTGTCCCTTTAAGAGACTGACAAAGAATACGCACACATTTTCATCTCAGCTTAACGTTCAAATCAGTCTTTCTGGAAAATCTTCCAAATAACAGAAAGCAAGGAGGAAGGGGAAGGTCAAGGAGGAACTGGAGGCTGGGTTCAAAATCGATTCAAAATGGTGGATGCTATTAATCCCAGTAACCATCAAGTTGATCCCGACTCATGGTAACCCCATACATTTCAGAGTAGAACTGTGCTCCATAACGTTTTCACTGGTTGCAATCTTTTGGTTAATAGCTAAGAATGATTCCCGACTCATATTGACTGTTTTCGAGGAGCAGATGGTGGGTTGAACCACTGACCTTGCTTATCCTATACCACCACACTAGGACTCTATTACTGTTTATAATACTACTTTATTCTTAAACAAGTACGTAAATTGAATGTCTTTACTCTGATTCTGGGAGTGTAGCAGCTCCATAGGCTGTGAACCATAAGGTCGGTGGTTTGAGCCCACCAGTTGCTCTGTATGAGAAAGATGAGGCTCTCTGCTCTCACTGAGATTTCCAGCCTTTGTACCGACTCAATGATACGTAGCACCCCCCCCTCCTGATTCTAGGAGCCCTGTTGGCGCAGTGATTCAAAGCTCAGCTGCAATCAAAAGGTCTGTGGTTCAAACTCACCAGCTGCTCCATGAGAGAGAAATATATGAAAGTCTGTTTCCATAAAGATTTCCAGTCTTGGGAAACCTTTTGGGGCAGGTCTTCTCTGTCCTATAGGGTCTATGAGTCAGAATCAATCTGATGGCAGTGATTTGTTTTTTAACACTAATTATAGCTGGGAAACTTAAATTCTAAAGAAAATACTTCATGTTCCAAAAAATTACAGATGCTATGGCCAACAAAGGCTGCTAAATGCCAAGAAATAACTCTGTAGGTTAAAAAATACGAAGCTGTTTTTATGGGTTCACACCTAAAAGAACCAATTAAAAAACTAGATTTTACTTTTTCTCCCACCATCCCCAAACAACTTTCTTTTAAAAATCAAAAGAAACACTTATTCTAAAGGCTTATTCATTAACAGAGGCTTCCTTCTACCTCGCGCTCTTCTTCTCTGACAGGTCTCCCTGTTGCCATGCCAATTTGTTAAAGAACTTTGAGTTGGGAAATGGAAATAAGTTGTCACTTTTCTGGAAGACTCGTGGCAGATCCCCTGTGCATCTTTTATTAACATATCAGAGTGTTAAATCTGCGTCTCCTAGTCATTGCTGAAGAAGGAAGATCTAGTTAAGCAATGTGGGGAGGCCTCTGGAGGCTGAGGTTGGGGCTACTGTGTGGCTCAATTTCCTAGAATGCAGCGGGGATGATCTACCTAGGCCCATGAGCAGCCACATTTAATGTTAATGTCTGCGTATTTTAGGACCTCGATCTGCCACTCTTCCTCGAATGGAATCTGAAGTCAATGGCATTTGTGGATAGTGATGTCGGAGTAAAATGGCTCCTGTTTATTGGGGATTGATTTCTTTTGGGTCAGGCAACTGAGTGAAATGCTTTCTATGAATTCCTGTGTTTAATATCCCCAACCATAAGACTATTATGCCCATTTTGCAGAAGAAGGCAAAGGCAGGGTCAAGATGGGAAGCCAACTCTATTTGATTTGTTAACTATTTGTGCTACCCTGTCTCTCTGAATGAATGAGTTTTTAAAATACGGGTTTTTGGATGATGTGGTTGAGAATATACAACAGTTTCTGCAGGTGCATTTCAGTGACACTGATGAGATTCTTGGTGCTGTGCAACCATTCTCACCCTCCAATAACATCAACTCACTGCCCACTAAGGTTGCTATCTAATCTTTCCAGTTGCCAACTGGATTCCCTATGGTGGTGGTGGTTGTGTGCCATGGAGTTGGTTCATAGCAACCCTGTGAGCTGTACAGGGTTTCCGAGGCTGTAAATCTTTATGGGAGCAGAAAGCCTCATCTTTCTCCCGTGGAACAGCTGGTAGTTTCGAACTGCTGACCCTGAGGTTAGCAGCCCAATTCATAACCACTATAGTACCAGAGCTCCTTTTGGATTCCCTATAGATAATTCTTAAAAGAGTCCAGTGCACAAGGCAGACCTTATTTTTACTGGGCGCACTAAACTACTATTTCTTTTTAAGAAGACTTCAGGGGAGTATTTCTGGTTTAGAGTTTGACTGAGTGCATTTTTATAAAGCACGAGCAATTCTAGCCTCTATCTCACCAGAGCCCACCACTGTGTCATCTGCCAGTAACCTGGAAAAACTCAGGACACCCCCACTGCTTCCAAAGGCTCCCTGCCAAACAGAGTATGCACTAGCCCTATGCGTGGGAGTAAGAGGGTAAAACTATCCTTGCATCGAGATAAACAAAAATCTATAAAGTGTTTCTCCAGCTAGCCCCCCACTTAGCATCGTGCCTGTACGACCACGCTTGATGTGGCAGTGACCACAGGGAGCCTGAAGAGCTTGGTTGGGGCTGGGAGCTGCTCTTCGCATTTTTAGTGAAATGTGTGCTTGATTTTTTTTTTTTTTTTTACCCTGTTGTCAGGACTCTGGGTTCTTGTGCTGCTATGTCTCCTCAATGCTTGGCACATTGTAGGAATCTGGGGTAAGCCCTCACCCCCCTCCACTGACCCCTGCACCTTGGATGTATGTGGTGGCTCCTTACCCACGAGCAGTGCTTCACGTTCGGAGTTGATAGGACTGCTGTTGAAAGTCTGCTCAAGAGGGTAGTCGCTCTCCTGGCTTGATGCACAGAGTCTAGAAGCACAGCTTTCCTGTGGAAATAAGGTGCTTTCTGGGTCAGTTCCCCTTATTTACTCACTGCCTTAGCTTAAATGAACTTCTTAACACAGGACCACTAAAGCACTACTGAGAGGGAAGAAAGGAGCATAAAGAAGAAAAGCATCACAGAAAATCCAAAACTCACTTGACTTTGAAACACAGACACATCTAGACCTCATCTTCACGGTTTGCTTCCCCTGCCTTGATCATTCCTGACGGAAGTATTCTGTGGGACTAGACCCAACATTTGCTATCTATTAGATTGCAGTTATATATGTGTTATCTCCACAGTACAGATGAGGAACTGAACTTCAGATAAGTTAGGTAAACTGTCTAAGATCACACTGCTAGGGACATGGGTTTTATCCCAGGTTATACACTGTTAAAAGGACCATTCCTCATTTAATTTTAGATTGCCACTCTGCTAAAGGTTAAGTCCCACAGCTCAATGGAGAATCTATAATGTAACTATCTATCCGCTCATGGGTGAACCAAAAATTAGAGCTCGTATGTACTAACTCTCCCTTCTCCCTGATAAGGACATCATCAACTTGGATATTCCTGAATTTACAGTAAGATATAACCATAACCAAAACCATCATTATTCAGTGGCCTTCTCTGCTGTTGGAAGGTTTTTTTGCTCTCTCTTTGTGAGCATAACAGATATGTTTCATAAGAAATCCTTGGTGAAATCGACCAGCAATCAGACTGAAAAATACCTCCTGAGTTTTCATGAATCATCCTTTCTCTCTCTGGACACTGAGAACATCTTTTCTATATTGTAAATGTGAAGGAAGTGCCTTCAGCAGCAGGAAAACAAGAAGTCACTGCTTTGGTCTCAGTGCTGTTGTAAAGAAAATGCTGGGCGAATGCTGTCATTTCTTCCTTTCTGCAAGCCCTCAACAGGGACAGGAGTCCTTCTGTTTCCTTTAAAGATGCCTTCGAAAGCTTCCAGGTGGTTGCCCCAGAACAAAATGGACAGTGGAGGCTGCAAGACATGTTGTTTTGTGCATTTACAGGCTTCCTATCTCTCTAGTCAGAAGGGAACCCTTTCTTGATGGCCTACTCAGTCTTTGGCCTTTAAATTCCAATCCAGACAGTAAGCATAATGCCAAGTTTGATTTAAACTGCTGCACACTCCTAAGCCACAGGCTTCACATCTGCTTCCAAATCCCCTTAAAAACATTACATGATCCAGTAAGCCATTTCTTACGTGTGAGAGGTGAACAGATTGGTGTTGATTTAAGATGTGAAGATATCCCGAATAGAAATGGAGTCTTTCTTAAACCTGTCTTGGAATTTTAAAAATTCGAAGGTCTATGGAAAGGATGCTTCTCACCTTGAATTTCACTAGCAGATTCAAAGCACTGGTCCTTTCAGCAGGAAGACAGATATAAGTCACATTGTTAGATGGTAAAACACTAGCAATAACTCACACTGTGGTTTACTGTCAAGCAACCGAAACAAAACCAAAAATGATGCCTCCTTACCAAAACATAATTGCTTTCTTTTCAACCTGAAATTATTTTTGCAGTCTAAAATGATGGTACTTTGCTTGCTAACCTAATTGTGTCAGGTTGAAATATCTGGGTACAAAGCAGCTTCCCAGAGCAGATCAGTGTATAATGAACTGTCAAGGACTTTCTCCGAGAGAAGCTTTGCTTCAAATAACAGGCAGAAACATACTCTGACTCTCGGTTTCTAGTATCTTCAGTTTCAGAAGGGGGAACACTCGGTGGGGGCACATTGGATCCCTTTTTTCTTAAAATGCTTTTTTAAAAAAAAATTAACAAAATGGAAAGCTGTTCACAGTAAATATGTCCTTCAGTCAAATTTGGAAGTAAATGTTAGTGAGTCTGAGCCCAAGCCATTAAACGTCTTATCTGTGGTCTTCTGGCTGCACACTCCATTTACGCAGGAAGCAAAACAGAGCTCTGTAGCAGCTCTGGGCCATTTTAGAAGCTCTGATAGTTTGAGCAAAGTCCTGATGAGAAGCAGAGCAGCTTTGACACTTTTCAATTAAGTGCTTGATAAATTAATTTCTCTGGGATTGTGCTCGTTTCTTTAATAGCACCCACAAAACTGGAAAGCGAGTTGGTTTTATGAAGTGGAAGAATTAAAAGCATATTGCTAATGGCTTCCAGAAGAAAATGCTTTCAATCATTTGTTTCAACGATGCCAAGGTTGCCCATTCTTCTCAGCACTCTGGGGGAAGTCACTGTGCTGGCAGACGGACCCGGGGCCAGTCGGCACTGCATTTTCCTGGGCTGAGCACAGAAGATCAAGAGCAGGGGTTCCGCAACAGTCTTGACATCTGGCTCTTGGTTCACACCCCTAATCATGTCTTCCTTCCCAAGACATTAAAATCAAGCAGTTCCGGTCAACTGTTAAGTTCCGGTTATCGTTTTCAGAGGATAACTTCAGTTGAATGTTCAGGCATAATGGAGATGGGAGAGTGTTTCAGCAAGAAGACACACTGATTCATAGAGCTTACTCACTTTAAATAGACTGCACACCTGATTCATGCCTGTGACACATTCATCTCTCCAGATGTTAGTTGACTGTCTCAGAGGCCCTCACGGACAGCCCTCATTGTTGCAGGCTCATTATCTAACTTTAGCACGTTGGGCCTTAGTCTCCCTGTTTGTTTTCTAAGATTTCTGGTCTTTTGTGTTGGCTATTACTCTCACTCACAGCCGCTCATTATTACCCTCGATGGAGGATCAGCAAAGAATGTCAATGTTATAGTTGCACTTGAGTTTCTCCCTTTAATGAAATGCGTAACTAAAGGTACTTTGTGTCACCCAAGCTTTCTGCATTGCTGTTTACTTGACAAGATGAAGTTGGGATGATGTGTGTACCCTGGCTTTCTCCAAGAGAGAAGACGTTTGTGGTTGTTAGCTACTGTCGAGTGGATTCTGGGTCACAGTGACCCCATGTGACAGAGCAGAACTGGCCCATGGGTTTCCTTAGCTGTAATCTTTATGGGAGCCAATGACTATGTCTTTCTCCCATGAAGTGGCTGGGTGAGTTTGAACTGCCAACCTTTTGGTTAGCAACTGAGTGTGCAACCACTTTACCACCAGGACTCCTTAGTCAGCTAAAAGTGTGCTCCCCCAAAACCCTCAGAAATGCCGAAGACTCATACACAAAATCTGAGTCCTTGATAAAAGATGCCAGAATTACCCTGGAGAGGGGCTTTGGATCAAAGTGCAGCTGAGCATTCCACACTGATTCCTACTCTAGTAACATTTTCATTGTCTTGGAAAAGGTGTGTGTGTGTGGGGGGGGAGGGAGGTGGGGGAGACAAGGGAAATGTTCTGTTCTATTTAGGACTCATATACCTTTTCTCTCAGAGTTTCCATCAGTTTCTCCAGCTGCAACTTTTCTTGTTTGATTTTTTCAAGTTCAACTTCTTTCCTTTTGTATTCTTCTTGGATTTTGAGTACATGCTACAAGAGAGACCAAAAGCAATTAAGTCACTGATGAAGGAGCTGAGATTAGATTGCAGGCTGGCCTTTCACTTCCCTCCAGCACATACAATAATTACTCCACACAGAGATGCTGAAGAAAAAGCCAAGATACTTTTCAGCTAAAGTTCTTTTATGTGGCTTTGAACTTGTTCATATTTAGAAAATGATCTGGGAACCAAATTGATTCAGTCACTTCTTCCTTATTCTGACCAGGAGTGGACTTATGTACCATCGAGTCGACTCCTATTCAGAACGACCATATAGAATGTTTCCGAAGAATGACTGGTGGGTCTGAACTGCCAACTGCTCATCTTACAGTTAGCAGTCTAGTGCTTATCTTACCTACAGCACCACACCAGGGCTCCAGGGACAGAGTGATAGTGGTAGTGGTGGTGTGCTTGGAGTCAGTTCCCACTCATAGTTACCCTGTATAGAGTTTCCAAGGAGAAGGCTGGTGAGTTTGAACCACTGATCTTGTGGTCCAGTGCTTACCCTATATAGCACCACACCAGGGCCCCATTCATTCCCTCACATTAGGAGTGAGTTCATTAAATGAGCAAATACAGCAGGCTAAATTTTAAGTTGATAATTTTGCACACAAATGATACAAATTTTGGCAGGAAAAGTTTCCCACCCGTCATAAAGCATTCTTGCAAACATCTTTTTACCAAGAATTAAGTTCAATTTCTGTGAAAATGAAAGTCCAAATTTTACATGTCAGTTTTTATGATCTATAGGCAGGGAGCTGTAGTTATCATTATTAGTCATGATAACAAATACTATTTATTGAGCATCTAATAATTGCCAAGAATTACACTCAGGGTTTTAAATACATAATCTCATTTAAGCCTCATAATAAATCAATGTGGTAGATATCTTCATTCCTGAGTCTTAGAGAGGTCAGTGGCTTGCCTGAGGCTGTTAAGATAAGTAAGTGGCAGAGCTGGGATTTATCCCAGGCTGGACCCTGAGCCCAGGCTTTTGTAACCACCATATTTTACCATCTATTTGAGAGAAGCTGGGATAAATTGTATCACTGTTTGAAAAGCTATTTTCCAATAAAAAGTAAGCAAAATGAGTGAAGCTAATCCTTTACAAGGCAGAGACCTAATTCTTACTGAGGAATTTTTAGTGATGAAACAAACAAATGAAAAGTCCAACACCATCAAATTGTCTTCCAATAGCAGAACTATCCTTATGTGGAATGATTTCAAAATCAAGGTAAGAGGGGAGGAAAAACAAGCAAACAAACCAACCTTTCCAAAGTATTGCGAAAGGATTACTGGAAGGGCTGCATAGCATGGTACAATGTACCTTGACAAAGTTCTTGATGAGTAGTGGAGATTGATAAGTAGTGGAGGGTGGTGGTGGATGTTAGGTGCCAATCAGCCGATTCCGACTCATACTGATTTTATGCACAACAGAGTGGAGGAGACGTGTGTGTGTGTGTGTGTGTGGGGGGGTGGTGGTGGTGGGTGGGTGGGTGGAAGGACCTCTGATATAATTTACATGCTCTAGTTAAACTACAGGGTGACAGTGCAAGGAAGGCAAGCAATGTGTCACACATTTTACTAACAGGAAAAGTAACTTGTTAATGGGCTATTACCTGTCACATAGGAAGGCAATCCCACCAGCAATGCAGGAGCATCCCAGTCTCTCCACACCCTCGCCAGCATTTATTGTCCTCTACTTTTTGGATCTTTGCTGCTATTGCTGGTGTGAGATGATATCTCATTGTTGTTTGGATTTGCATCTCTCTAATAATGGCTAGTGATTGTGAACATTTCTTCATATGCTTGTTGGCTGCCTGGATCTCCTCCTTGGTGAAGTGTCTGTTCATGTTCTGTGCCCATTTTTTAATTGGGTTCCTGCCATTCGTTTTTAAAGGTTGTGTTGTTCAGAATTCTATCAATTGGATACTTATTCACCAGCACTTTCTCACATATAAATAATTGAGGTTCTTCAAAAGGATCCTAAGACCTTGTCTAAGTCCTAAGTACCTTCTGAAGCATAAAAATTAGATCATGTTAAGTATAGTTCCAATGTTAAGCATTTCACGGAATGCTCATTCTTTGAAAACTGGTGATCTACTTCTCTCTTCCTACAAACCAGAATATTCATTAACCACATCACATAATCCCTTCCTCATCCATGCCAGATAACAGAATATCTAGAAGAACAAGAGATTTGCTATTTGTGTTTGTTTGCACGGGACTGATGCTATCCTTCCCAAACCTCAGAAAACAGAAATGCCTTTACCTGTTGCATTCCTTGCAGGGCTTGTTGCAGGAGTTTCAGCTGCTGGTCCTTGTTTGGGTCATCTTCTCGGTGGACTTTGCCTTGATCTTGTTTGAGCAGTTCTACCTCGTTCCGATAAGCATCAAGCTGCCAGCGGAGGCTGTCGTTTTCTTCCTTCAGCGTTTCTGCCTGTGACACTAAACCTAAATAATCAATGCACAGCAGTCAAAGAATACATTGAGATTACTCTGTGGTTCACCTCAGTAGCAGGAGAAGTTGGTATTTTAAACTACAATGTGTAAAAAGTCATTTGATGAGGAACTTTAAGTCTCAGTTGACCATGGAAACGAGATGGACACAAAAGTACATAGACTCGTTTTTATAAAGAACACAGGTTTCTGACACATTATGGTTCATATGCTTCGCCTCAAATATAACTAACATGGTTTCTGACAACATATTTTTTGAAATGCACCAAATGATAGAAATCATAGCTATAACAAAATTTAGGACTAATTGTGTTAAATTGTCAGAGGATTTTTTTTTTTTTTCATCCACGAAACAAACATCTCTTGATAACTTTCTGTGTTCCACTTTATGATAAAGAGATGATGCGATTTAACTAATCTCTATTGTTTACACAACAAGTTAATGGGAATATTTCTAGTTTATTAACTTTTTAGCTTACTACCAGAACACAAAGCACAGGAAAGAAGCATCAAAATGGGTCAAAATTACAAATCAGAATAGTAAATGTAGAGCAAAATTAAAAAAGACACTTTGACAAAAGTATAAAATTTCTCAGCTTCTTATGGGGAGGGATTCTTGGTGGAAGAAAGAAAAAGTGAAGGAAATTAAATAGTTGAGAAAATTAGCATATCTATAAATGGTAGAAGAGTTTTCCAAAGGGTCTTTCAAGGACAAGAGTCATCCTGTATGTTATGAATAGAAAGAAGTCCTGTTTTACAAAGATGAATTGTATTGAAAAAAACCATGTTTAAGAGGTTGACATATTCCCTGTTCCTAAAAGAAATCTGCCTCTAGGAAGGTGGTATGTCTAATCTAATACCTTGATGTGATTAGCTTGTCTATGCAAATCAGAGTGGCAATGTTTAAAGAAGGGTTCTGGTACGGAATATCTTTTAGTAGTGTTGAGATATTTTTGCAAAATGTCTCTATTTTTCTCTGTGGATGGTCATGCAACTAACCCAATATGATTTCTTTGAACTCAGTTTGAAAAATTACAAAGGGCCTTTCGCATGATGCATTTGATTTTATGCTTGGTTTTATTAACTGGTTTGAATTCTTGCAGCAACCACACAACTGTTGTGTCTTTTAAGAACAAGTCTCTACTTAGACTTGTATTCCTAGTACTCCAAATAGTCTCTATCACTGCCATCTCTCCCAACTGCTACACACAGCATTCCCAACAATCACGACACTACAATTAGATGCTGTAAGTGAAGGAGATCATTGCATATAGGAAATTGTATGGAAAAGGGATCACAAATTATTTGCCAAGCAGAGGAGAGAATATTTCGTTTGAATGGGAGATTGGCTGAATAGCATCCAGTTTGCTCTGTGAATCAAGTGACTGCCCCCCATGGAGAGTTATTTATTTCGGCTTGGGTTTGCATGTCTGTCATCTGGCAGTCCACACAACTCAATACAAAATCGAGATATTTCATTTCTATCCTCTTGTTGCTTGTACTGCAGGCCAGTAATTAGCTATATTAAACAAGTCATGTAGAGATACATGAAGAAAGACGGACAGAGACCTAGAAGAATAGTTAGAGATGAGTTCTCCAGTTTAAATGTGAAAATATTTTGCTTTTGAGAAAATGTGGAGAGGCCTCTTCTGGAGGAAAGGACATGCTGATGAGCAGAGATATGGAACCCTGCAGCCAAGTCAGAGCAGATAATAATCTCCTCAGTTTGGACCTGTCACTAAGTGAAAGAAAATGTGATCTCCCATAATGCTACTGAGGGGACCTTACCTATTAAATGTAGTTCACACTCTGAAATGAAGGTTTTTGTCATTTTAATGAGGACACCAAGTCTTTACCTTCACAGACTTAATATTAATTGGGCCCATTTCTGAAGTCGGAGCTTTCTGTACATTGCCAGAACATTGAAAAGTTCAGTATTACCTTTTAATAATTGTTTGAGCAGGTGAGTCCATCAGTCCTGGTACTAAAGAGTGAATGTATTCATGCCCTGTCATCAATAGTGCTCAGCTTCTTTGGGGTTATTTCCTATGTGGGAAGAACATTTCTCTTTATGGGGATTGCTCCCCAGATCTGAAGGCTGCCAGTTCATCTTGGCAAAAGGAAAGTACAAGGGTGGCTGTGAGCACCTCATTTTACAGAAGCCACTCAGAGCAACATCCCAGACATGTTTTTCTACAACAAAAGATTTAAAAAGGATTTTGTGCCATTAAAAAAAATGAATGTCTGCTTATGTTTCTTCGCTATGGGTTGGAACCGACTTGACAGCACTTAACAACAACAAAGGTTTCTTCAATGGCATAAAAGAGACAATAACAACCAAAAAAAAAATTACTGGAAGTAAATATGGGAAGTCAAAAAATACAAAGAGATTCCAAAAATTGTTACCCAAGTCATAGGTGGAAGAAGGTGAAATGTTCCCCTCAAGGCTCTTAAGAAAGTTTGAGCTATAGTGATGAACGAAAGAGTTGGAAGAAAGAGAGGATAAGAGCAAGACTCATTGGCAGAGGTTACAGTCTAGGCAAAATCTCAAGTGGGTTGTATGACCTCACAGAGCCTTGCTTTCCTGGCCTCTCCAATCAGGCTCTGTCAGCCTGGATGCAACTGAGACCTCGTTGTTTCTCTTTCCAGATCTCTAAGTTCTCCTCTCGAAAATAGTATTCTTTCTTGTCTGGAAGTTATATCACTGTCCTATCTTTCCTTGCTGAAAGTTTTAAGCTCTTGGAGTGGCCAATTTCACCTAGTCCCTTGTTTTCTGGCTAAACAAATGCCATTGTGAGCTCCTCAGCACTGTGTGTTCGTTCCTTCAGCCTCCTCAAATCTCTAATCCCGGTTTCTTATGCCCACCCCCAACTCCCAGTCACTTGACTCTATGGACTCTGCTCTTACAAGATGTTACAGATCTGGGCAGTCCAGGCCAATGTAGAATCATGTGGGCCCTTGTTGATGGGCCTCTCATCTTGCACTAATTTCTTCCTTCCATACTCTCCACAATATTCATTTCAGTTCTGTACCTCTCTCCCTAAGGTTTCATGTTTAAATGATTTCTGTCATCAGTAGACGACCAATCTCTTACTGTGTGGAGGAGCATGAGCAGCACATATACTTTCAGCCTCACCTCTTAATTCACAGAAAAAGGTTTCTCCCCTATCTAAAACAAACACCACCTGCATTTGGGTCATTTCCCATCCTCCTACAGGATTGCACTTCTAAAATTACCCATAAGTATTTTTTCATTCTCTAGCATTTCCAACCTCACACTCTCCATGGCTTCCTTCCCTTCTATCTGGTATGGCACTGTGGGTTAATGATCTGGATTGCAAGTCCTTTGAACCACAAGGTTGGTGGGTCCTCGCCAGCTGCTCCTTGTGGTCTTTGACCACTTTATCTCTTCTCAAATCATATAATCTGACCCCTACTATTTCTGCTAAAATAGTTCTTGCTCAACACCGTTGCTCTCAATTTCTTCTTTGAAACACCTAATAATGTTGATTGCTACATAGTTCTATAAATTCTTCTCTTAGTTTCCATAGTCCATTGTTTTTCTAGTTTTCTTCCAACATCTCATGTTGCTTTCATCATACTAGCAGCATAGTCGAGACATGCTAATGATTCCATTTAGACTTCGCCTACTACATACTAAATCTAAAGTCTGCATTCATGGTCCCCAGAGTCTGGGTCCATCTTGTTTACTCAATCTTTTTTATATACCATATAAATAAGTATTCAATTATTCAATCTATATGCAGTGCAAATAATCCGAGAAGCTGGATTATATGAAGAAGAACGTGGCACCAGGATTGGAGGGAAAATTCATTAACAACCTGCAATATGCAGATGATACAACCTTATTTGTTGAAAGTAAAGACCATACAGTCTTCAGTATGGATTGCACCACAACGTAAAGAAAACAAAAAACTTCACAATTAGGCCAATTAATAGCATCATGATAAACAGAGAAAAGATTGAAGTTGTCCAATGTTTCATTTTGCATGGATCCACTATTAATGATCATGGAAGTCTAGTCAGTTCCAACTTATAACAACCATATGGACAACAGAAAGAAACACTACCTGGTTCTGCCATCCTCACAATTGTATATGTTTGATCTCATTGTAGCTGACACTGTGTCAATCCATCTTGTTGAAGGTCTTCCTCTTTTTTACTGACCCTTCACTTTACCAAACATGTCCTTCTCCAGGGACTGGTCCCTCCTGAAAACATGTCTAAAGTAAGAGAGATAGTATCGCCATCCTCACTTCTAAGGAGCATTCTGGTTACACTTCTTCCAAGACAGAGTTGTTTGTTTTTCTGGCAGTCCATGGTATTTTTAACATTCTTCTCCAACACTATTATACAGATACATCAATTCTTCTCCAGTCTCCCTTAGTCACTGCCCAACTTTCACATGTATATGAGGCTACTGAAAATGTAGCCAACCATGGCTTGGGGCAGGCACATCTTACTTAAACTGAAATCTCTCTACTCTTGAATACTTTAAAGAGGTCTTGTGCAGCAGATGCTGCTTCCATGAGTGTTGATTGTGGATCCAAGCAAAAGGAAATCTTTGACAACGTCAATCTTTTCTCCATTTATCATGATGTTATTTATGAGCTTACTGAGTACAAAGGCACATCTCTATTGCCCTTAGTTTATAGGACATTTGTTGTTGTTGTTACATGATGTTGAATTAGTTCTGACTTATAGCGACGCTGTATAGGATTTCCAAGGAGCTGCTGGTGTGTTTGAACTGCTGACCTTGTGGTTATCAGTCCAGGGTACTTGTAATTAATTGGTCAAAATCCTAATCTAAGAATAACGGGAAATGGTGGGGGAGGAGAAAGTAAGTTGGATATCAAGGGACTTTGGCTACAACAGTGAAGGAGAATTAATCTAAGTAAATTTTTTTCTTTCACCAAAAATGTACTCCTTGAGTCTTTGTATAGTATACAGGATCTTAGGTAGAATCCTCAGCC